AGGGCCAGGGGATGGCCAGGACCCTGCCAGGGGAGCTGTGGCTGCTGCCCTCCGGGAGTAATCTTGGAGCATGAGTGAGCAGCTTGTGGGTGCAGACTGCCAGACATGGGTTAAGTCTGCATCCAGTGAGCACTGAGGGTTCTGAGATGGTTCTGGGTATGAAGGGAACCAGTGTTTCCTGAGTGTCTGCTGTCCTGGGGGTGGGTGTGTGTGGCATCAGAGGGCACAGGGAGGGAAAAGGGGCTTGTGAAATTTCCACTCTTACCTTCCAGGGACCTGAGGCCAGGAGCCACCCTGCTCCTTTTATCATGAACTTCCCAGTCTGCTTCTGCAGCTGCCTGACGGGCCCTGGCAAGTCAAGTAACTGCTCCGAGCCTCTTTCCCCACCTGTGAGGTGGGCTCAGGAGGCCATGGCTAGAAGAGATGATTGATGCGCGCTAAAGACAGCGTCTGACATTGCTGCTGTTGCTGTCACATGAGTGCCATGTGTGTCACTATGCTGCCCAATCCAAGGGCGTGTCCTCCCCTAGAGTCAGGCTTGGGGATACCCAGAGCACCTCCAGGGTAACTGGAGTGGGGTGGGGGAGGCCGGCCAGATGACTGGTTTTCCCCACCATGTGCTCATCCGTTCCCAGGCCCAGCTGCTCCATGTCTGAGGCCTGCCTGGGCAGGGTGACTTGGTACCCTGAGGGACAGTCTCAGAGCCAGGCAGGGCTTATGGAGCGGGCTCGTCAGTCCAGTGTTGTCCGTGTTGTCCTGGCGGGCAGGCTGATGCCTCTGGAGTGTTAGCATCAGACTGGGAGTTCTCCCCCGATTTCTCCAAAGGGTATTCCTGATGTGGCCACCTACCACTAGGGCGTCTGTGAAGAGTCAGCTTATCCTGCACTGCACGCTCAGTGCACATTCGTGCCAGGCGTGCTTCAAGTGCCCAGCTGCTCCCTGGTGCCTGAGGGTGGGGGGCAAGAAGAGACCAGACGTGTTAGTTAATACTCCGAGGTGAGGGTGGTGAGTCGTCTGGAAGCGGTGTGGAGTGGCCCTAGAGGAGGTGTCATACTCAGGACTGTCACCTTAGCACAAGCCGTGGTACAGGGACTTGTCCAAGGTCACCCGGCAGTAGGAGGGGGAGCTGGGCCAAGGCTGGATCTTGGAGACAAGGAATGGAGAGCTTATCCAGAGCAGCTGGGAGACTTGGAGGCTCAACAGGACGGGTTCCCGGCCAGCTGGAGCGCTCTGGCACAGCAGTGCCCGGGACCCAGGGACTGGCAAGGGAGGCTGCATCCAGGGTTCTGGGCGGAGCACCAGCTGACGCAAGCAAGGAGCTTCTGGTGCCAGGCGCCCAGGGCCACGTGCCCAGTGGAGAGGTGCTTCCTGGCCTGGCTCTGGCCGCCCCAGACTATACAGTTGCAACCGTAGTTGGCCTTGACTGCTGGACAGCTGGCTTATCAAAGGGTGGGGGGCTGGCCTCCTACTACTCTGGCCCCGCTAATCCCTCTCCTTCAACAGACCTTGCTCTCAGCAGAGTCCTGCAGCCTTCTAGTCTTCCCGAGTGCCCTGTCCTGCCTGGTAGAATCCCTCTATTAGCCTTCCCTTGGCTGCCTTCCTTTTAGGAGGTGAGGGGCCTCTGAGAGGCCATCCCCCCACCCCCACCCCAGCCCCTCCTTCTATTCCCCGCCCCTCTGACTGGGCTGGAGGGGAATTTTCCTGTGACTCACTCTGCTGGCACTTCCTGTGGTCACCAGGGCAAGGGCTGGGGGGACCCAGCCTGGTGGTTCAGTGTTCTGGGGTCACTGGGGGAGGGTGTCCCACCCCCTGACGGGATGTGATTCCCTGAGACAGGCTGCAGACCATATTTGGGAAACTTGCTTTTCTTATAGGCAGCTTGGGGATAGGGGACTTGAGCCCTGGTGGGCAACAGGGCAACCCTCGTCCCGGCCGCTCCTCCTGGGGCTCCAGCCTGAGGACCACTTCAGCTTCCTCTGTCCCCTGGAGCCTGGGGGATAGTCAACTGTTTGCTTTTTCAAGGTATCTAATTTTTCAACCCCAGAGCCAAGAAAATTGAAAAATTCTGAACAGGAAGAGAAAGCATCCTCCATTGTCTCAAACATAAACAATATCATTCTTACCCCCCCCCAATTTTTTAAGTTCAAGTAACAGCTCATGGAGGCCTCACTAACCCTTGGTGGTTTACAACTGGTGGCCTCCGACTGCGCTCCGGGTTCTGGGGTCAGCTGCCTGCCTGGGCTGGTTTGAACCGGGACCTCTACCTCTCTCCTGTCCCCAGCTCCCCTGCCACTGGAGGCTCTGAGCAGCCCCACACTGCTTGTCCCATGCATCGGGGTGGCCAGCCCTGCGGCCTGGGGCCCTGCTTGGAGCCTGAGCTGCCTCTTGCGCCACCTTCCTGAGTGGGGACCCTGTCTCCTCTTCCTTCACTCTTAGTACAGCATCCAGGGAGGTGGAGCTCAGAGGGGCACTTCTTGCCTCACATGCTGGTGTAAGAGGCACAGTGGGCTCTCCTGGGCTTTGATGAAGCTCACTCCCATGTCTCTCTGCACCAAGACCCAGGCCCCACCTCCTGCTTCTGCCTGAGGCGTGGCCCTGCCTTCTGTCTGTATTCCAGCCTCCATCTGACTTCTTGGAGATGGAGACCATACTCAGGCCCAGGTGGGGAGGGCCACACAGCTAGTGGGTGACCAGATCCCAGGTTCCATTTCCAAGTCAGGAGTGCAGACCAGGCTGTATCCTCAGACCCCAGAACACTCAAGGCAGAAATGAGAGCTGTCGCTTGGTTGGTGATCCAGAGCCTGGCTGACCCGACAAGGCCCGTTGCCCACACCTGGCTCCCAACCCCTGCAGGTATGGTCTGAATCCCTGCAAGCTGCCCTCCTCACCCAGGCCCCATCCTTGCCTGGTGTTGAGCTGACCGGGCCTCTTGGAGACCCTCTGATTCCTCGGGACACGGCCTGGCCTGGCACCTGACAGGTGGGAAGCAGCAGCTTGGGCCAGACTGAAGATGTGGGGCCTCGCCACCAGCTTCTTTCAATCCCAGTGAGGCTC